TGGGAGGGACCGCAAAGATCGGCTCGTCCCAACGCTCCTGCCACCGGCGGGATGTGCCGGGCAGGATCTGGGATCCTGATACTGGGATTTACTGGTTTGACTCCAGGCAGGCAGCACCGAGCTCGCCTCGGCTGCACTGGAGAACCCAAAACCTGCAAGAGGCTCCTGAGCCCTGCACAACACGGGGCAGCGCCGAGCTATCGCGGCTGGCACGGTCCCAGCGAGGTGTCGCCAGGGAGGAAATTGATGCCGACAGGGACATCCAGGTGTCAGGAGGGGGATTAGGGCTTAATCCCCCCGCGGCAGAGCCCGCAGCAAACCAGCGGGACGAGCGGCAACTCCTGCACAAACCGGATCTCTCACGCTTGGCATCACTTGTGCTAAACAAGACCTGTTTGCGGTTGGCTTCGGGCGCCTTTAAGCCTTTCCAATAATTCCCCCGGGAAGGCTTTGGAGCTGGTTTTGGTAGACAGCACCCACGCCGGCGCCGCGGGACAACAAACGGCGTTCCCATGCCCTGCACCCCGCTGCCGGCCAAGCCGCGCTCTGTTTGTTTTGCAGAGCAAAGGACAGTGGCCTCGCTCGGTAAAGTCCAGTCCCTCCTCTCGGAAAAGTTACCGGAACAGCCCTAAATCCAGGAAAAACCCCGCCAACCCCTCTCTTCCAGCGCGGAGGGAGGATTCACATCCACGGGGTTCCCATGGTGCCCACCCCAGCCACAACCCGGGGGGGGTGGGGGGTCCTCAGCACCCCGCCCTGCACCGAGGGGCTCCCCCCATCTCCCAGCGCTCCCACCTTGGGATCCTTCTCGTAGTAGTACTGCTGGGTGCGGATCCAGCGCCCCACCAGGTGGTCCCGCACCGTGTGGGCCAGGGCGAAGTAGTAATCGCGTGGGGTGGCCACATTGCGGTCCTTGACCAGGGTGAAGTGCAGGTGCCGGTTGAAGCCTCGCTTCAGCTCGGCCACGCTCTCCGCGCCCACGATGCCGCGGATGCTGATCTGCTTCCGCCGCTCCTGGTCCGACAGCGGCCGCGACATCGCGGCGGGGCTGCGGGGACACGGGGAGGGGGGACACGGACACACGGGCTGGGCTCCGGAGCCGCGTTCCGCCTCCGCCCCGCGCTGGCACCGCCCCGGGAGGGGACGGCATGGGGACGGGGATGGGCCCCGCAAAGGGCCGCCCACGCGTGGGGGGGGACAAAGGGGGGACCCCGAGGATGGATAGAGGGGGGGCAAAGGGGGACCCTGGGGATGGACAGAGGGGGAGAAAAGGGGGGACACCGAGGATGGACAGAGCGGGGGAAAAGGGGGACCCCGAGGATGGACAGAGGGGGAGAAAAGGGGGGACCCCGGGGATGGACAGAGCGGGGGAAAAGGGGGACCCCGAGGATGGACAGAGGGGGAGAAAAGGGGGGACCCCGGGGATGGACAGAGCGGGGGAAAAGGGGGGAATCCTGAGGATGCACGGAGGGAAGTGCAAGGGGAGACTCCAGGAAGGTGGCCGGGGGTATCCCGGGGAGCGCCCCTTGGTTGGGTCTCGGAGGGGTGTGCAAAGGGGGGACCCCGCCACTCACCGAGGAGCGTGCGAAGGGAGGGGGACCCCGCGTATGGACAGGGGGGTGTGCGAAAGACAGGGAGGACTCGCAGGGGCACAGAGGGGTCTGCAAAGGAGAGGGGGGATCCTGGGGGTCTCAGAGGGATGTGCGAAGGGGGTGTCCCGGGCAGGTGCGGAGCCGGAGCCCCCCGGGCGCACCCGCAGCGGGCGGAGCGGAGCGGGCACGGCCGCCCAGCGCTTACCCAGGCAGCGACCGCCCCACGAGTGGCCCCGCCCGCTCCAGCCTCTCCTGGAGCACGTACGAGGAAGGTGTTTCCCACCGGGCCCGGAGGGAAGACCGGGGAAGTGTCGTGATGTGTCCCCCCGTGTCACCGTCTGCGCTGGTGTTGCGGTCCCCTCCCCGCCCGACTGCCCCCGCCCTCCCCCGCAGCATTTCCCGGCCCCCTCCCTTCTCCCCCCCCGTTCTCTCACTGTTCTCTGCCTGCCCGCGGTCCCTCTGGGAATGCCGTGGGATTCGTGCCCAGCTGCCTCCCGCACCGAGGCTGCCCGCAGTGCCCTGCCCTGCCTCCGCTTCCTCCCAAGGGCAAAAATACCCGATATGAGCTTCCAACGCAACATTTTCTCCTCCCCCTCCTTCTTATCCTCCTCCTCTTCCTCCAGCCGTGGCCCCGCAGGTTTTCCAGCCTGTGTTTTCCCTGTCCTGGGCTCATCCCCAGCAAAGCAGGGAAATGGGATTCTGTCCCCCTCAGGTGGGACTTCACGTGCAGTGCCCCGAGGTCCAGCACCAGGAGGATGTGGAGCTGCTGGAGTGAGTCCCTGGAGATGCTCCAAGGGCTGGAGCCCCTCTGCTCTGGAGCCAAGGCTGGGAGCGTTCACCTTGGCAGAGAGAAGGCTCCAGGGAGACCTTAGAGCCCCATCCAGGGTCTAAAGGGCCTCCAGGAGAGCTGGAAGGGACTTGGGACTAAGATCTGGAGTGACAGGATGGGGAAATGGCTTCCCAGTGCCAGAGGGCAGGGTTAGATTAGATTAGATCCATGCACAGGCTTCTACCCAAAGAGTGACAGAATCACAGAATAATGGAATGGTTTGGGTTGGAAAGGAACTTAAAGATCATCCAGTTCCACCCCCTGTCATGGCAGGGACACCTTCCACTATCCCAGGTTGCTCCAAGCCCTGTCCAACCTGGCTTTGAACACTTGCAGGAACGGGGCAGCTACAGGGCAACCTGTGCCAGTGCCTCACCACCCTCACAGGGAGGAATTTCTTCCCAATACCACATCTAAATATCCCCTCTGTCAGTGGAAAACCATTCCCCCTTGTCCCACTGCCACAGATGCTCTGGCCCTGGGCTGTTCCCTGTGCTGTACATGACTTACAGGCTGGTTTTACATGCTGCAGGGAAGATGCAGTTTCCTGTATCTCCGGAGTTCTGGGCACATTCCCACTCTGGAAGGAACAAGCATCCTTCTGAGATGCACTTCATGCATTAGCATTTTCTTCTTTAGCCCTGGACTGGAGCCCGTGATGAGCTCAGAGGCTGCACATTGAAAACCTCTCCTGAGTCAGTGGGAAAACAGAGCAGGCACTGATATCCCAATCCTCACGGCCCTGGGAGAACTGTCCAGGCTGTTCCCTTGGAAATCCCCCTCCACTGACCCCTTCAGCATTTTGCCTCTATTTCATCTCCCTGGGGAGGTGGTGCTCTGTATCCACTCCTGGTCGTTCCTCCCTCCTTCCAGGGATCCAGGGGCAGCCACAGCTTCTCTGGGCAACCTGTGCCAGGGTCTTCCCACCCTCACAGGGAAGAATTCCTTCTTCAGGTGGCTTCCACAGCCCCTCCCTCCCACTGACCGAGTTCTGTCCGTTCTCTGCCGCTGTCTCTGGACAAGGACAGTGAGGGATGTGCACCAAGGGGGGATGAGATGGGAGGTGAAGCAAAGAGACGCTCAGGAAGCTCTGCCCTTCTGTCATAAAAGTCCTTTATTAGAACGGCAAACGTGACCCTCGTGGTCAGTACAGCGGCTGTGTGCAGCTACCATCGCGCAACACGGGGAGGGGAACGACGTCTTACAATCACTGGGACTCTAAGAAGCACCATGAACACCCTAAAGAACGGGGGATGACGGCTGAGAGAGGAGCCCCGGGTGAGCCGGCCACGGGGGCTCCTCAGGAACACCAAGGAGCCGCCCGGCGTTGTCCCGCAACGCGGCTCTCCGGCAGCTGGGAGCGACTCCTTGGTGGGAGTCAACGAGAGATAGCACCCATCCAATAAATTAGGAAAACTTAACGCTAGAGCAACGAGGGAATGAACGGGACTGTCCTGGAGGAGGGCACGCTGGGAGGGAATGGGTTATTTACACTTGTTTTTCTGCTGGGCCGGCGCTCCCGTCGTGTCCCAGGCGGAGCGGGGAATGAGTGCCCGGCCCGGCTCCGCGGGGACACGAGCGTGCAGGCGCTCTCGGCTCGGCCACGGGGCTGGCACCGTTCCTCTCCCGCCTCTGAATTACCAGAAAGTCAAGCAGGGGATGGAGGCCGGCGGGAAGCGCCGGGCGCGTATTCCTGAGTGCGTGGCGGGGCTGTGGTCCAGCTCTCCTTCCTCCCCATCCCATCCCCACCCCCGGGCTCTGTGTCAGACCCTCACTGCAGAACCAATTCTCCGGTGATTGGAAGGACACTATCAGTTGAATTTAAGGCTAGGCTTTATATGGCAACTATAAAAAAATAAACGCTAATCTCCAAAGAGCCGGGCGAGGCTCTGCGGTCTATGGCTGTGGCGCGTGTGCTGGCACCGAGGCGTGGGGGGGTCCCCGGAGGCATTGGGCACCCGACCAAGGGCCTGCCAGCACCTGGGGACAGGACAGGCCACCCCCTGCCCCGCAGAGACACCCCAGGGGCAGGCGGGACAGAGAGGGGTGTTTTGGTAAGGACATGGAGACTGACTGGTAATCCAGGACCCACCTCTACACGTGACCGAGGGTGCTCTGCAAGAAAGGCCACAGGGGAAAGAAAGAATCCTGCAAAGTAACCGGGCTGGCGCGGGCAGAAGCGTTCCCGTGGTGGGGTCCCTCCGGCTGGACCCACGGGAGGGGAAAGCGAGACGGAACTGCCCCCTCCCCCCCAAAAAACCCCAACTCAAATCAGGAAAACCAAACCTAAAAGCGGACACAGGAGAACAGCTCAGGCTACCTAGGTACTTCATCAGCCAAAGAGAGCTAAAGAGCGAAGCGCACACACACGGGACAGCGCGGAGGCCGGAGAGCGGAGGCGGCCGAAAGCCAGGATCTTCCTTCCCGAATTGTGTCCCCGTCTCCGGCCAGAGGCCGAGCAGGGACCTGGTGGCCGAGCAGGGACCTGGCAGCTGGGCAGGGACACCTCGTCCTGCAGGAGGGAACGGGCTGGCTCCTCTCATCATGCCGAGAAGAGGCAGCCGGCTCCGGGAGCATCCTCAGGGCATGGCCGAGCGCGAAGCGTAGAACTCGGGCACCGGCAGCCCAGTGTGCAGCGTCACCTGCAAGGAGAGACACGGCTCTCAGCTGGGTCCCAGCGTGCCTGCCGGGACAGCTCGTGCCATGGCAGCTGGCACATCGTCCCCAGAGAGGGCAGGAGCAGCACAGGGGACAGGCAGGATGTGACCGGAGATGCAGGTGTCCCCAGAGCTGTGGCAGTGGCTCCATCTGGCTTGCTCCTCACTTTTCTGTGCTGCTGGAGCGAACTGGGACCGCTGGTACCGAGCCCAAAATATTCCCAGCTGGCTGTGTACAAATCTGGCTGCCAGAGAGGAGGGGCACGGCAGGAGCTGGGTCTTTGTGCAGGTGAGATGGACAGGAGGGGATTGGGGGGGCCTGAAGGACAGTGAAGACATTACAGGAGATCCTGGAGAAACCCCTGAGCTGAATGGGGACGGGGACAGAGAGGGGACAGGGACAGTGGAGGGGATGTGGCTGATTGCTGGTGGGAGGAAGGAGCTTTGTGGTGGGGAACTGAGCAGCATCAGGATGTTGGGACAGGGCCATGCTCGCACAGGCACTGGTGAAATTCAATTCCCTCCACAAATGCTTTAATCTGGGAGGAAAGCACAATTCCTCCTTTCATTGCAGCAGCAGCATTTCCCCCTTCAGATAAAGATTTAAAGAAAACTGTCTAAAATACAGTGATTTCCCTCCTAATTAGAGTTGTTTTCAATTAGGCATATACCTCTGAAGAAGCATAATAAATGGCTTGGCTTAATTAGCAACCTTTTATCAGCATCCCATGGGATTTCTGTGTTGTCAGGGGATTTAGGCTCTGCCTTGCCCAGGGAACTCACAAAGCCAAGGGGCTCCAGAAATCCCTTATGGCTGTGGAGAGGACTGAGGTAGGAATTAACCCCAGCACACAGCAGGATGTTTTTACCACACCAAATTAATACAGCACCTCTAAACCCAGCATAGACAACATGGGCTTCGTTAGTGTTTCCTAATTAAACATTTCTCAGCTCTTCTCCAAGCCAGGCAGACTCCCCTGCCAGTGAGACCCTTGGGATGGGACACTTTGGCAAGGATGCTCCCAAAGTTTGGGATGGTCCAAACACGCCTCAGTCCCAGTGCTGCTGGAAAATTGTCACTGCCTTGGTGACAGCGCAGTAAGCCCTGGATCCTGATGGACACAGCAGAGCACGTCCTAATCCATGGATCCCTAATTTTGGTGCCTCTGCCCTAGCACAGAGGTGATCATAAAATCCTAGAATGGTTTGGGTTGGAAGTGACCTCAAAGCTCATCTCATTCCACCCCTCCATGGCAGGGACACCTTCCACTATCCCAGGTTGTTCCAAGCCCTGTCCAACCTGGCCTTGAACACTCCCAGGGATTCAGGGGCAGCCACAGCTGCTCTGGGCACCCTGTGCCAGGGCCTCACAACCCTCACAGGGAACAATTCCTTCCTAACATCCCATTCCCCCTTATCCTTTCGCTCCAGGCTGTTCCAAAGTCCCTCTCCAGGTTTGACACCCACTGTAGAAGACCCTGCCAAAATGCTCGACACCCCAAGATGATCCATTAGGTGCAACGTGTCCTTGGATGTGCCTGGGCACTTGTGCAGGGCTGGAGGTGCAGGCAGTGGTGGGAGGGATGTGCCAAAGCCAGGCTGTGGAGGATTCCCTGGGACAGAGGACAGCAGGGATGTGGTCAGTGAGAAGAGAAAGGAAAGATGGAAATACCGGATTGGCTCAGGGTGTCACCGCTTGGGGATGTTCAGGAGAGCTTGGGAGAGAGGGAGAGAAAAGGGGTTTGAAATGTCCCAGAGGAAAACAGGCTTTGGAAAGTGCTCTTCTCCCTGGTGATGCTCCTGTCCAGGACCTGGGAGAGCTGTAGGAGCCAGTGAAGCTCTTGTGAGGGAGCATCACAAAACACAGTTATCAAACCCCATCCCAGGGAGGGCTCCAGCAGCCCTGAGGGAGGAACCTGGAGCGAGGAGCTCCCTCCAGGGAGGCCTGTCCTGATTCTGGAGACTCACAGGTGGTTTAGGGTGCAAGTTTAGCTCCTTCCAAGCCACCCTTGCTGCACAAGAACCCTCCTGCTCCTGAGCAGCAGCTACTGCAGTGACAGCAAGGTCACCCCTTCCCACTGCTGGGAATGTCACACCCTGCTCCAGGAGCCCGACCAAACCCGTACCTGCACGTTCCTGTTGAGGCTGACGGCGGGGAAGAAGAGGCCCTCCAGGTTCTCAAAGGCCACAGGTCCTTGCTGGTCCTCGTTGATGGAGAAGGTCAGAGTCCTCCTGGTCAAATCCAGCAGCACTCCCACCGTGGCGCCTTTAGTGATCCCGCCCTCGGTTCTGTGGGAGGAGAGAGCAGTGCCTCAGTGTCCCCCGTGCTCCTGGCTCAGGCCATCAACTCAAGGACTGATGATGGTGAACACCACAGCTCAGCCAGGAGCCAGGCCATGACCTGCTGCCATCCCAGCCATGCTCCTCATTCCCTGGGAACCTCCTCCTCTACCCTCCCATGGAGCTGCTCTCCTCTTGCCAGGATGTCCCCAAGGGAAAAGCCACCCCGAGAGCAGCCACAGCCACACAACCACGAGGGAAAGCACGTGGAACTGTGGAGCAAAGCCACAGCACCCACACCAAAACCTGCTGGTCCATCAGGGAACGGCCCTCGGGTCTGCAGGAAGGTGAGCCCGGGCTCTCCCCAAGAAAAGTCCCCAGTCCCAGGTGGAACACGAGCTGTAGCTGTGGCACAGGGATCGAGGCAAACGTTGCTGCAGGATTTGGCTGGTACTGGGAAGAGGCTGCCAACAGAGTCAGCATGGAAAGAATGGTGGCAAGCAGGGAAGGAATGCTGGAACAAAGCAGCACCAAGCAGGCAGAGCCTGATCCCCACTCGGGGAAGGGCACATCCTCCAACATAGGAGACCGAGATTGATGTCATCCTCCCTGTGGACACTTGCAGGTGCCACTGCCAAAGCCACAGGCTCTTCCTTTGTTGGAGTCTGAGACACAGAGTGTGTGCCCTTGGCTCTGAGATCCAGGAAAACACTGAATTTCACACAACATGAAATTTATGTGTGTGTTTTCATGGTGTTACATGAAAACAACTGTTAAAGTTAGATAGAAAAGCTAAAAGTGTGTGTAAATTAGAGAGTTTTCTTAAGTCACTGGGTGAAAAAGTTAGAGTTTAAACTAGTTTAGAGAGCAGAAGACAAGATGGAAGATTTAGGGTGTTGTTTCTTTTCCTTCTTTCTTCTTCATTTTCATTTTCTGGAGGGTTTTGGGTAGTAGGAGGTGATTGGACAGAAAATGTCACAGTGCAGCACACAGGTCATTGGGTCATTAAGAAAAATAATCCACATGTCTATTGTTAATTGGGTAAAAATAAACATAAATATAAAAAGGCTGCACAGTTTGGGGCCATTTTGTGCCATCAGAACCCAAAGTGTGCCAGGCTGCAGTGAATTAAATTTGTGCAGAGAGTCTGGAGAGACCTGCCAAGTTCTGTGCTGACATCCTGATAAACACGAGAAACAAGATCCCAACGAGCTTTGGAGTTTCTGTCCTGACCCAGAGAACTGAGATAAACAGAGGGAGGATCCCAAAGGAGCTCAGCCCAGAGGGGACTGAGAAACCCAGGAGTGAGAAGAAGTACAGAATCAGAAAAACAGATTAAAAAGTGACATTCCTTGGGCTGTGGTGCCCGGAGGGGCAGCCCCTATCCCAACACCTACCTGTTGGTGTGGGAGTTGTTGTGCATGAACCAGCTGCGGTTGTTGTCCACGTACATGGCCCAGGCCTTGTCGTCCTTGCCCAGCATGGCATCCTTGAGGACGTCGATGCGAGCCACGCCGAAGGCCGGGTCGGGGTGGTTGTCGTAGCGATCGATGGACAGCTCCCAGTAGTGCAGCCCTTTGGAAAAGCCCGTTTTCCCCAGCACCACCCTGTCATCGTAGCTGTTGCAGGTGACAGTCAGGTTGTCGTTGGAAAAGATGATGTCGGCATGGGCAGAGGCGGGGTCGAAAGAGAACCAAGCGACTGGAACACACAAACAACGCGGGGTTAGCGCGGTGGGGACGCGCCGGAGCCGCGCGGAGCCACACGGACACGGCATGCTGCATGCAGGACACGGAGCTTCCACCAGAGAGGGACAACTTCCACCAAAGAGGGACAACTTCCACCAGAGAGGGACAACTTCCACCACCGAGGGACAACTTCCACCAAAGAGGGACAACTTCCACCACCGAGGGATGCTCTGAGCTCCTGTGGCTGCAGCTGCCAGCGTGCCTGAGGTTTTACGGCCAGGACTTGGAGGAGTTTGGCTCTTGCTGCTCCATGGCTCCCAGTGTCTCGGCTCGCGAGCCTGCAGGATCCTCAAAGCCTCCTAAAATTTGGTGCTGGCAGGAGATGTGATCCTCAGCAGGTCTCCAAGCTCTAACAGAATTATGGAATCATGGAGTGGTTTGGGTTGGAAGGGATCAAAGCCCATCTCCAAATCCTGTCATGGGCAGGGAAACCTTCCACTATCCCAGGTTGCTCCAAGCCCTGTCCAGCCTGGCCTGGATTGTAACTTACTCTCAGGACCAAGTGTTATTTAATTTTCAGACTCAGGTCAGTGTGGGAAGGGGACTGAGGATCAGCAGATAAACTCTGTGTGTGTATTTAAGGGCTGTTTTTGGGAACCAAAAGCACACACAAACATCTTCATTTACTGAGATGTCACATCACACCAAGAAACCTCCCTGCCAAGCAACGAGCCACACCTAAGCCAGGAACTCATGGGAAGGCTGGAAAATGCCCCAAAACCTCCACGATTCCGTAGGGCTGCTGGTTTAAATGCACAGGACTCGGTTACTGCAACTCTGACAGACACAGCGTCACGTCCTCGACAAGACACAGGGACGGGGATTCATTCACAAGCCACCAGCCCGGTTCCCCAGGTGGTTTCCTCCAGCTGAAAACCGTGAACTGACACATCCACAAAACACTCTGACGGCTTGAAAAATAAAAACACTCGGGTGAGACTGATTCACTGGTTTATTGGAACGTTTCACAAGACAGCTCCCATGCACGCGGCCGCCCCGCGCTCCCCGCGCCGCGCACGGGGGGTGCCGTACCTGCCACCATTTTTTTAATGTCAACTGTGGTCATTCCCAGGGAAAGGCATGCGGGAGAGAAAACAGCACGTCAGGTTGGGAAGGGAAAAGAAGGAGAAACCATTCCTGCTTGTCTGTGATTCCAGCCAGAGCACGGAGCTGTCGGCATTTCGAGAGGCGCGAAGACGGGCTGGGGCTGCGGGGTGAGGAGGGAATCCCACAGGGCTGCAGGCTCCTTCTCCCAGGGCAACGAGCAGGACTGGCCCTGCAGACAGTCTGGAGAGGACGGGCAAGCAGCAGCCACCTTGCTTTAATTAGCTGCAGAGGGGGTAATTGCATCCACGGAATCAGTGCCTTAAGGAGCAGGGATATGGACTGAGAATCATGGAATGGTTTGGGTTGGAAGGGACCTTAAAGATCATCCAGTTCCACCCACTGCCATGGGCAGGGACACCTTCCACTACCCCAGGTTGCTCCAACCTGGCCTGGGACACTCCCAGGGATCCAGGGGCAGCCACAGCTTCTCTGGGCACCCTGTGCCAGGGCCTCACAACCCTCACAGCCAGGAATTCCTTCCTAAAATCCAACCTTAACCCTGCCCTCTTTCAGTTTAAAAGAGGAGGAGAGCAGAAGGATCAGTTCTTAATTACAGGGCCACTTCCAGAGGACTGACCTCGGGCTTCTCTTTAAAACCATGTGGGGGAAACCAAAATGCTTTTACATCATCATAACTTCTCCAAATGTGCCTCCTGCCCAGGGAGTCCCCATCCCTGGAGGGATTTAAAAGCCATGTGGATGTGGCACTTGGGGACACAGCTCAGTGGTGGCCTTGGCACTGCTGGGGAATGGTTGGACTCCCACAACCTTAAGAGGGATTTTCCCACTTCAACAATTCCATGATTCTGTCACATCTGGGAGCGCTCTGCAAGCAGGGTACGAGCAAGAAACGCTGCTCAGTCGCCAAAGAAAAGATAAAAAAGCAAAAAAAAAAAGAATGAAGCAACACGCAGTAGGTGCCAGCTAATTGTAATTAAGATACTTGCCTAATTGGGAGTAAGGCGATCCTTGTGTGTCAAAATTGCATCCTATAAAGAGATACTACATTTCACACATCACAGCTGAGGAACAACAACCTCCTGACAAACACTCCTGAGCATTTCATTGGTAATTAAGCATCCAGCAGCCACGGGAAGCCTGATTCATTAAAAGCCAGAGGGCACGGAGCGGGGTGGCAAACACAGCCTGGGAGCTGGAGTGTGGACTGTATAAAGTCTGACTGCTCAGGATGCCAAATTATTCTGCTTTTTTCCAGAAAAGAGGCAGGAAATTTTAGCCTTGGTGGAGTATCTTGGCTGCTTGGTAAAGATTCTCTAAACTGACTGAGAAACCAGTCCTTGAAGGACAGGGATTGAGGAAAAGGCAGCTCCTGCTGGGTGTGAGTGCAGCTGGAAAGGGGATCCCTGGGGGCTGACACCTCCTCAGACCCCTGCTAGCACCAAAGGGCTGTAGCTTCATCAGCTGCATGGGCGGGATGTGTTGGGGTGCCCTTCATGCTCCTGGGCCTGACTGCTGGCTGCAAGCACCTCATGGGAGCCAGGGACTGATCCAGGAGCTTGTCCTGATCCAGGGGCCTGTCCTGATCCAGGGGCCTGTCCTGATCCAGGGGCCTGTCCTAACCTAGGGGCTTGTCCTGATCCAGGGGCCTGTCCTAATCCAGGAGCCTGTCCTAACCTAGGGGCTTGTCCTGATCCAGGAGCCTGTCCTAATCCAGGAGCCTGTCCTAACCTAGGGGCTTGTCCTGATCCAGGAGCCTGTCCTAATCCAGGGGCCTGTCCTGATCCAGGGGCCTGTCCTGACCTAAGGGCTTGTCCTGATCCAGGGGCCTCTCCTGATCCAGGATCTTGTCCTAATTCATGAGCCTGTCCTGATCCAGAAGCCTGTCCTGACCTAGAGGCTTGTCCTGTTCCAGGCACTGTGTGGGACAGCACACACGAAGGGTGTTGGATTTTAGGGCCACCTCAGTGCCTGCTTTTGCCCCTCGTGCCCTGGCTGTTGGTGGGACAGCCCCTGGCTGTGCCTGTGCTCCGTGCTGTGCCAAGAGGCTCCTCCTGAGGCTGCTTTAATGAATCCTGCCCCGTGTCCCGACTCCGACACCGCTTTTCCAGGTCTCTGCGCATCGCTGCGCTCCAAGCTCTCCTGAGGGACACACAGACCCTGTTTTGGTGCTCAGGACCCCGTTTTTCCCTGTCCCCCCACCCCAGAGTGGGGCTGCAGAAGGTCCACACACGGGTATCGCTCACGGCCAGCGCAGAAGGGTCCCGGAACACCGGACACAAAGGAAGGAACGTCCGTAACAAAACAGCGTTGGAAGCCATCAGCTCACAGCAGCACGATGAGAAATCAAACATAAAAAGCACAAAGAAAAGAAAGTTTGCAGGGTTCCCCCCTCCCCACCCCCTGGTTATGCTGGCAAGGGTCATGCTGCAGCATTCCTCATTCCGTGTTATGGGATGGAAGTCAAACAATCGGGGGCCCCCATTCTTCCAGAGCTTACACCGGAGAAAGCCGGGAATTAACGCCTTTGGAGCAATGTAAATCCAGAGAGGTGGAAGAATCAGGGCCCAGGATCTTTAGCAACAGAAGATGTGCAAAGAGTGGTTAGAAAATGGCTCTGAGAGACCTCTGTGGCTCCTCTCTGGCTGCCCAAATCCATCCCTCGCTCTGACCTGCCTACATCCCAGCACAGCCCGTCATTCCGGGCACGGATCCGAACCGAGCGCTCCTCTGGGGCTGCCAGGCCAGCGAGGCATCACGGCAGTGCTGTCCTCTGCTCTGCAGGAAACAAGGCTTTGGGATGATCACAGCTGGCTTTGGAAAAGCCGAGCCCAGTGCTCAAAGCTGAGCGGAAGAGAGCCCGCGTCTCCAGGCCCTAAGTTGGGCTGTGAGCTGGAATCACAGAATCCCAAACTGGTTTGGGTTGGAGGGGACACAAATCACCTCACTGCACACCCCTGCTGTGGGCAGGGACACCTTCCACTATCCCAGGCTGCTCCAAGCCCTGTCCAACCTGGCCTGGGACACTTGCAGGGATGGGGAATTCACAGTCTCTCTTGCCCGCTTCTTTCTTACCGGGGGTCAGATTTAATCAACCAAACTAATTTCACAGACCAAATCTCCCAGCAGAGGCTGCGTTTCCTGGTTGTATTAGGGAAGGAAAGCATGGGGCTATTCCCACAGGTTTTACCCAGGGAAGGTTTTTTTCTGATTATCCCTTGACACGAGCTCAACACAAACTGGGAATGGGGAATCTTCTAGAGGAAAGTGTCCCTGCCCACACCAGGAGGTTGGAAGTGGATGAGCTTTAAGCTCCCTTCCAACCCAAACCATTCAGGGATTTATGATCACCAAAGGGTTCAGCCTTGCCAAGAGCAGCACCCAGGTAAGGAATTACTGCGCTGCTCCATCACCCCACACCTCAAACCGGCACATCCCAGCAGAACCACGCCACTGACCCACAGAAAGAATTCCCGCTGCCATCCGCATGTCATGGGAGAAACAAACACAACGGAACAGAACAAACAGTTTGGAGATGCCCAGAAGCACAGACCAAGAGGCAACGCCAGAGGTGCTCAGCTCACCGGCTGAATTCAGGGACTGTAAGGAAGAATGCAAGCTCAGCTGGTGGGCCGAAGATCTTAGCTCAAAGTAGGATCTCCCCGAGAAGCTGGGTTGTAGATTAAGGGTGGAGGAGAAAGGACTCATTCTACGAAGCTGCGATCTTTCCAAAGGCACTGGAAAAGGGAGGGTCTGTTCTTCTGACTGCGCGTCTAAACGTAAGATCAACGCAAACTACAGATCAGAAATGGGGTCTCTGCTGGGCGCCGTCGCTCCCGAGCCTCAGAGCGCAGCACGGACCCTGCTCTGCTGGCAGGGCAGGAATGGCTGGTGCTGGGCAGCCCAGAGAGACCCTGCAGGGCAGCCTGAGCAAGGAAAACACGTTCATCTTCCAAAGTGTCCCCGTGTCAGCGTGACAAATTCAACTGGCTTGTCTGTAAAAGGGGGGGGGTCCTGCACCTCTTCACAGGAAGGCACCTAAAAAAATTCACAGGTTACCATGCACACGTCCCACCGTGCTTTAACACATCCCAAACCTTTTTGTGCACAATTATCAGGGGTGGAAAAACCCAGCTGGTGACATTTTGCAGGGCTGGGCTAAGCTCTATCACCCTAAGAACCACCAAGCACCCACCTTACTCAAGGGCTGTTCGGGAGGTTGTGTTCTTGGAATCCCTTTGTACCTGTCAAAACACATCTGAGCCTTACAGCAAGAATTTAACCCGTGGGATTCACAGCAAAATGTCAGAGCAGAGGGAACCTCTTGGGTCATTCTGTTCCACAAACAGTCACCTCCTGCAATTTCTTCCCTAGCCTTTTATCCAGGATTATGTTAACGTGAAAATGTAGAATCCATCATCCACACACACTGTATCCCCCAGCCTTCCCAGCTCTGCTTTGAGTATGGATTGAGCTGGGAATTGTGGTAAAACAGATAAAAAGGGAATATTTCTCTGCATGGTGGGTTGTAACCTCTGCAACTCGCTGCTGCTGCTGAGGCTGTGGAAGCAAAGGGCGTCAGTGGGGTCACAGGAGATAAATTATTGCACAGCAGTCAATAATCAGAGCTCAAAGTTAGGGAGGAACAGCTTCTAACCCTCCCAAGGGTGAGAGGAACCACTACCACGAGTAGCTGTGCCCATGGCTCTCCCTAAGCAGCCTCCCACGTCCCTGTAGCTCCTTGCAGACTCTTCCCCCTTGGGTTGTTCACCCTTTCCAAAAGCTGCTGCTTAAAAAGCCCTGGTTGCTGCTCAGGGTCACTCCATGGATGGTCAGGAATTTAAAGTTGGGTTCCAGATGAGGAGCTGGGATGGAAAGGAAAGGTTCTGGTGCTTGGCTTGGCTGGGGAAGGGAGGTGGAAGTTCTCTGTCTGGAGAAAAGCCTGGGAGACACCGCTGAGCTCCGTTTCTCCATCTCCACCTGGAGTGAGCTGGTCCTTCATCCTGACATCCAGCTTGCTGGGCAGAACATGGAAAGAAGCCAGCAGGAGACTGGCCAGAGGCTGGGAAATCTGCTGGAAAAGGGAAAACCAGGAGAGCAGGGGCTGCCCAGCTCAGGGAGGAGGAAAAGGAGAAGGCTGGGAGAGACCCCAGGTCTCCCAGGGGTCAGGACAGCCAAGCAGGGCTGCCACCAACCAAGCTTTGGGACATATCTGTGCCCTGGGTCACCTTGGAAACTTTCTCCCACACTCACCTCCCAGCCCACAGCTTCATTCAGGTGCTGGAGAAACAGAAGTGAAGGCAAAGCCTTGGGCTAAGGTGTGACAAAACAAGAGACACTCCCAGGGATTGTGCAGAAACAGCCCAAAATCAGCTCAGGAGGGGACACAGTTCAAGGGAAGGATGTCACCTTCAACCCTCGCTGCCCCTTGGCTGTGCTGGTGACAGGGATCTTCATCCCTGGGAAGCCCCAGCACGTGGGGAGCACAAACCTCCCCGCCAGGAACCACCTTGTCCTGCTGGTGGCACCAAGGACCAGCTTTGAAGAGCGACCTGCAACAGCTTCCTGTGGGATGAGCAGCTCTCAGCACGAGCTGGGAAGGAATTCCTGCTGTGGACTGCTGCATGTGCTGCCTTCCCATGGGATTTTCCACTGGTGCTGCCCAGCTCCCTGTGGCTGCTTGGCACAGAGCCCCGGACACATCCCCTTCTTCTCATCCTTCTTCTCTTCACACGCTGAGGCTCTGCAAGACCTTTAGCTCTGCTCACAGAAAGCAGAAGAAAGGCTTCAGTTCCCTTCCACAGGCTGCAGATCTCATGGATTCTCTCAGAATTACAAACCAGCTCTTCAACACCAGAATTCCTTACCAGCACTTAGAGCAGGACAGCCAGGCTGGGAGAGACGCTCTCTTCACATCCAGCCTCTCCCTTCTTTTGTCCTCTCTTCCCACACAACCACTTTGCAGGAAGCTGCAGAGCTCGGCTGAAGGGAAAAGCTAAGCCTACTTCAGACAAAATAGCTCTGAAAAAGGCCTGATGCTGCTGTAAAAGGCAGGAATAAAAGCCTGAGCGAGGGCTGTGATGTGCAAGGCAGCTCCATTCAACAAGTCACTCGGATATCCGGAAGCTGCACACACTGATGTGATTTATTTCTCTTTGAATCCAAAGGAGCTCAGGCAGCCTCTCAGAGCACAAAATGCTCCAGGCCCGTTTGACTTTTTTCTCCCCTGGAATAACAAATGCAAAAGCTCATTCAAGTGAAAAGGCTGAATGAATTCAGCCAAGGAGAGTGGAACTTCTCCCTGGTGGCACGGAGCAAGCACCAGCCCCAAGCACAGCCCTGCTGCCACCACAAGCAGCTATTTTCTCCCAGATTCCTTCGTATTCTGGAGCTGGGCTTGAGCTTGGCTCAAGGTGAGAACACCTCTGAGAGGAAATCAGAGCTGGGAAGATCATAGTGGGGACCCTGTGAATTCCTGCCTGGGACAACTTAAAGCCCAACTGGTTTTGATGAGGAAATTGTGTCTGTGAGGCACAAATGAGATGAGAAGTCAAAGCTCTGCTGTCTCCTGCTAAGGCTGGGCTGGGAACTGTTGACCTTCAGGCTTTGGGAACAGTCTTGGCCAGCCTGGCACGGGGCTGGATCCAGCCTGTCCCATCCCTGGATCTCCAGAGGAACTTCTGCAGCTTCTTTGCTGCTGGTGCTCAGTTTGCCAGCAGGCACTGATGTGTCTCTGTGCTGTGCCCTCCCTGCCTCTCCTGTGAAGTTTGTCACAGTTTTGCTGTCCGCTCTACCTCTGAATGAATCCCATTCCTTGCTGCCCTTACCAAACGGGAATGGTGATCTCCTGCAGGCAGCAGGAGAAGCACTCTGCATAGCCTTGCTCTGCTTTTGTCTTCTAGGGTTTTTTTCCAGCAAAAAACCCATTTTTCTTCTTGCTCAAAGCCCCCAGGGCTGCTCTGTGGCAGGAAAGCTCTCACTTTCCTTCCACCCCACCAGCAGCCCCACGAGCTGTGTGTGTCCCCTTCCGATCCCAGCTGCCAGCCAGCTGGATGCTGCCGTGAAAAAATCCTCACACGGCTTGGAAAAGAGAGATTTTTGTCTGGGAGCAAGGAAAAGGGATTCCAGCAAGCGTGGAAAGCTCCCAAAGAAGGGTTTTGTGCCTGGCTGTGGGGCTGCAGACGTGCCTGGGGGGGCTGATCCCTTCCTCCACAGCTGCAGCTCCCGACTCCCACCTCGGGGCCAGCCTTGCCACTCTCCACCTGCATGTCAGGAATAAACCAATTTTCCACAATGGATTAAGTGCCTGGTGTGACAAATGTACTTAAAGCCAGGCAGGGAGATTCCCCTGCAGCCTGCAAGGCAGTGTTTAATACTCAGAGTGCAGATGATGCCGTGAGGCTCCTGTGCATCCCTGGCTCTGGGAGGACACCCACACTGCTCCCTGTCCTGCACTGCCAGGCCTGAATCCCGTGCTTATGGCACTGTGCAGCCAAGCACAGCCCCTCAGGAGCAATGCTGGCAGTGTTCTGCTTCAAATGGGACCAGTGAAAACATCTGAGCTTCCCTCTGGTGTCACATAACCCCAAATTTAAACAGCTCTCCCTGTGCTTCCCCGGAGAAAAATCAAGGAAAGGGTGAAATCAAAGGAAAAGGGTGAGAGGGAAATTAAGGGGGAAATTCTGGCACTGCTGGAGGTTCCTGACACAACTTTCCCCCTGTGGTCAGTGCTGGTGGTTCCTGCAGGGGCTGCTCAGGGAGCTGAGCTGGGGTGTCCTGAGCTGCTGCAATTCCTTACCCTCGGAAGTCTGGAGCACCAGGGTCTTGCTGTAGGGGCTGACTCCTGACTTGTTGAAGGCCTTGACGCGGGCGCTGTAGGTGCTGTTGAAGTGCAGCCCATCCACCGTGCACATGGTCTCCTTGCCCACATACACCTCCTGCAAGGCAAAGGGAAATGCCAGGGCTGCACAGGAGCCCCAGGGCATGCACAGGATGCTGCCCTGCTCTGCCCCCCGGGGCCTGGGGCTGCAGGACACGGCTGAGGCTGAGCAAAATGGGATTTGTTCCTTGGGCTGCGGCACCGGCAGGAGGAGCAGGGGTTCTGCCCCTCTGCTCTGCTTGGCTGAGATCCCACCTGAGCTCTGCCCCCAGCTCTGGGGCTCCAGCATCAGGAGGATGTGGAGCTGCTGGAGAGAGCCCAGAGGAGGCCCTGGAGCTGCTCCAAGGGCTGGAGCCCCTCTGCTCTGGAGCCAGGCTGGGAGAGCTGGGAATGCTCCCCTGGAAAAGGCTCCAAGAACACCTCAGAGCCCCTGGCAGGGCCTGAAGGGGCTCCAGGAGAGCTGGAGAGGGACTGGGGACAAGGGATGGAGGGACAGGACACAGGGAATGGCTCCCAGTGCCAGAGGGCAGGGATGGATGGGATTTTGGGAAGGCACTGACCTCGTTCTCCCCACACCCAGCCCCCTTCTCTCCAGCTCCCACCTCACCTCTCCTTTGCCTCAACCCTGCTCTGGCTCCTGCCTGCCTGATTTATCCTTGTGGATAAATTCAGAGTGCAATGGGCTGCTCCTGTGCCTGCTCTCAGTGGATGTGAACACGCCAGGATAATTATTGGCGTGTCGGATCACAGAAAAATCATATTTTAATTGTGTAATTACAGCAATTTAAAAACCCTCAGGCCTTAAACACCTCTGCTTGCTGGCAGCTGGCAAACCATGAGGCTTTCATGGCAATTAGCACACCGTGCATGAAATATCTAGTAACCTAAAAACATGGAGCTTCATGGAATCATGGAATGGTTTGGGTTGGAAGGGACCCTAAAGATCACCCTAGTCCAAACCCTGCCATGGCAGGGACACCTCCCACTGTCCCAGGGTGCTCCAAGCCCTGTCCAGCCTGGCCTTGGGCACTCCAGAGATCCAGGGGCAGCCACGGCTGCTCTGGCTATCAAGAGCTTCAAACTTGTTCTCTGATTTTCCAACTCAGCATTTACACCACCTCAAACCACCCTGTACCCCAAAACCCCACAGCTTGTCTGCCCCATCCACTTCCCTAAATTAATTCTGTGCTCAGCTGCTGGCAGGGAATGACTGGAGGAGAACATCCCCTTCCCACGGGGCTGGCTCCGAGCACCTACCCTGAACTGGCCGCCGTTGCCATCGTCCAGCTCCAGGATGTATCCTTCCACCTGCACCGTGGACAGAGGGGGCTGCTTCCAGGACAGAGTGGCACTGTTGTTGTGGGTGCAGCACTCCTCCAGCTGCAGGATCGGCGGGGCCGGCACTGGGGAGGAGACTAATCACCAATTAGTGCAATTAGCGCAACCCTGGGGGATGCGGGGTGCGTTTACTGCCTCGGTGGGAAGGAGGCAGAAAGGATTGTTCTCCCACCAAGCTCCACCAAATTCCTGCCCCCTGCCAGCCTGGTGAAGCTTTTCTGCTTTATTCCCATTTTCTAATTAATCTTGGAGAATTATGGCAGCACAATGTGCCTGTTCTGAGCTGCCTGGAGTCCCAAAGCTGAGATGTTTCTCCCACAGGCTCAGCAGAACCCTGGCTCTGGACTTACCTACAGCCCTGCTTTTCCATTCAATAAATCCAACAGAACTGGGGGGCTGAGTACCCCTTTTGGCTCCCAGCAGCTGCACAGGGGGCAGAAAGAACTGCCAGGGGTTTTTCTGTACGTGTCCCACAGCCCACTCCTGCTCTGTCACAGGGGAGAGTGACAGCCTGACAGGGACATGTCCCATCTCTCAACAGAGATCCATCCTCATCCTCACTGCCCAAAGTGATAGGAGCCAGTGGAAATTGGCATGGAGAGCCCAGGCAAGATGGGGAGGAGCCATGGATGCCTGAGGAAAAAGCTGGACTTGCTGGCAGAGGCTCAGCATTCACCCTCTGTGACTCCTCCATCTCCTGGGCTGGATCCTGCAGGCTGCCAGTGGGTGTGGGATGCCTTGTACCTACTGCTCTTTATTGAGGCCTCAGGTGCTGCCCTCCCTCCCCTGGTGCTGTGACACAGATTTGGGATCCAAACCCAACCTCCTGCAAGTCTACAAAACCAACAACTGATTTCCACAGCGAGGGTGAGCTGGGAGGAGGAGGAGGAATTTGATAAGAGGAGGGTGGGCGGCTCAACCAGCAGCAGATTTGCTCTTATTAATTAAAAATAACCCTCTGGGCTAAATTGCAGGAAGGGAGGGCAGGAACACAGGAACGTGAAGCAGCAATCCAGCCCTCCCTGCGTTTGCTACCCAAAAATATTCCTGACATTTCAAATTAACAGCCTGGCTAACGAAGAGCAAGCATGGCCAGCTCCTCCCTGCCACCAGCAGGGCCAGCAGCTGAGGATGCTCCTGGGGGTGACACACAGGAGTGTGGCCAACATCCTTCCTGTCCCTGGCCACTGAGACACCCTGCTGTGTTCCTGGGCCAGGAATTCCGGCTGTGATGGGAATGAAGGGCGGTGCCAGAGCTGGTGAAGGTACAGCTCAGATCCAGTGTCCTCCTGAGCCTCCCCATGTCACAGCCCCTCTTTGTCAGCTTCCCAAATTCCTCACAGGCTGCAGCAGCCCTTGGTGGGACAGCAGGAGCACAGAGGGAATGGGGAACAGGGATGAAATGAAAGCCAAAATAATGAACTAAACCAACAGTGAGGTGAGGAGAGGGAGGGCAGAGCCCAGGCTAAGTGACCTGGCTGTGTTTGGAGGGACATCTGGTCTGTGACAGATGCTGCTCAGCACTGAACGAGCGTGGGGATGTGAGGAGAGGTTTGGGAAAAGCCTTGTGCTGCTCTCAAACGAGAGGTCCCAAAAGTGCAGAGCACTTTTCAGTGCACCAATAACTGTCAGAGCACTTTTTGATGCACTAATAACTCTGTTACAGCACTTTTCAGTGCACTAATAACTTTATCAGAGCACTTTCTAATGCACTAATAACTTTATCAGAGCACTTTTTGATGCACTAATAACTCTGTTACAGCACTTTTCAGTGCACTAATAACTTTATCAGAGCACTTTCTAATGCACTAATAACTTTTTAATGCAGTAGGAGTGCTTTTCCAGGTAAAGCCAAACTCCTGGCACCCTGCTCTGGCACAGGGATGCCGAAACACACAAGAACAGGCATAACTTTGGGTCTGGGGTGCCCAGTCTTGCTGGGAGATGAGAAACTCTTCTTTTCTGCTCTTTCCTTGGGATGAGCTGCATGGAAACTCCCAGCAGGAGCAGAGCTGAGCTCTGGGAAGGCACTGGAAAGATCTTTACCTTTCATCTGGACGAAGTCGAGCTGGTGGATGGACTGCAGCAGAGGGGCGTTGTCGAGGTTCAGGTCGAAGTCCGTGGTCATGCGTGGGGTGAGCGTCCCCTTGCCCCACTGCTCCTCGGTCAGGTGCACCCTCCTGATGAGAGCATCTGAGATCTGCAGGGGAGGAGAAGCCTCAGCTGCAGTGGGAGGTGTCCCAGGCCTCGTCCCCACCCTGCTGTCCCCAGCTCTGGGATGTCACCCGTGGTTTCCGGCATCGCTCTTCACTGCAGGCTCGGCTGGAGAAGGGAACCCTGGAGCGCTGGGTGCAGGGTTTAGTGCCAAAGGGAGCCCAGGAATGAGTGCTGGGATGCAGCTCCCAAGGGCTGTCTGTTGGGTCTCTCAGGGGAGAGCCACGAGCACCTTGTGATCCCTGCTGCAACCCTCTCCTCCCGCCCTGCCCCTGCTCCTGCCCTGCTGTCAACGTGCAGGTGATCAGAGGCACATCCTTGGTTTTATCCTCCCTGGAGCAGCCCCCAGCCCTGCTGCATCCCCCAGGCTCCACACCCACCTGCAGGAAGCCGCTGGGGTCGTTCTCCTTGATGACCTCCAGGCAATATTCCATCAGCCCCGTGGTCTGGCGCAGCTTCACCGTGCAGTGCGAGATCTGGTCCCGCACCACCTGCGGGGGACAAGGACAGCAGGGTCACCGGGACTCCAGGGAACAGGGACAGGCAGAACCAGCATCACACACCAGAATCCAGATCTCTCAAAACCTGGTGAATGGCAACACAGAATGCCAGGAGGTTTTTTTTGGGTTTTTCCAACCCAAATCCCGAATCCAACTCTAATCTCGTTCCTGCCGTGGCAGGGACACCTTTCGCTATCTCAGGTTGCTCCAATCCCCATCCAACCTGGCCTTGCACTCTTCCAGGGATGGGGAATCCACAATCTCTCTGAGCAAGCTTTGTTTAGCCCAAAATCATTAACACACTTAACACATTAACACATTAATTGAGTAATTACTCAAAGCAGGAGGGCAGCTCCATGCCCTGCCTTTAATTAAGCCAGCTTCCACATGGCAGCTCCTGAGCTCCATGCAAAGCAAATGCCAACTTCCATAGATCCACAGCTGCCCTCTCCAGCCTTGGAATGCAGCCAGGTTCTGGGGCTGGCTCTGGGGCAGCTGCACTCAGCAGTCCTGGATGAGGAGTGACCCTGGCAGCTGCTTTTTCCTGGAGGAATGAACACACCACCTCCCCCAGCCTCATCCCTGAGGATCTGGTGGAGATGCCCATCAGCTGCATGGACCATGCAGAATTCCTTTGTTTTCACCACTGGCTGGGGATGAGCTCTGAGGGAGGGAAACTCCAGGGAAAGGAGATAAATAAATCAATCCAGGCTCCACATTAAGGCACCTCTTGCACTCTCAGCTCGTTCCCCAAGGGATCACACTGCAGTATCCCTGCAGGGAAGCACAAGTCTGTGGTTTACTGGTGCCTGAGGCCTCTGCTGACCTTCCCTGCATCACAGCAAGGAGGAGAGTTCAGGCTGGATGCCACAAGAATTTATTTGAAAGCTGGCTGCTCCTTCACACTGAATCCTGCAGGTCCAGGACTGGCAGAGCAGCTTGGGAAGAGAGATTTTTACTCTTAGATGAAGGTTCTCAAACTCTCATGGAAGATTTCTTCATGTTCTACTTCTGGAAGAGCTCTAAAAAGCTGTGCTGAGTTCTCCACTGGCACTGACCAAAGCTGTGCAGCTCAGTGGAGCATTACAGCGAGGATGAGCTGCGAGGATGAGCTGCAGTGGGATGGGAAAAGCTGCAACAAACAGGGATGAACATTCCTGGGAGCTCAGTGCTGCTGGGATGCCCATTCCGAGCTGGAGAGCACCTCCTCCAGCCAGCATCCCTCCAGAATTCCTGCCTGAGGGACAGGCAGGGGAAAGGAAGGCTCCTGTGGTGAAGGAACCTGGCCTTCGAGGGGAGGTGACTCCTGCAGGGCAATCAACGCCACCACGTGTTGCTTAATTAAAATTTAATCACATCTACTTAATCACCTAGCAGGAAGAAAAGAATTACCAGCCTTGCAGCTTAGGAGCACGGATTCATTCAGGTTGGAAAAGCCCTCTAAGACCACCCAGGCCAGCTGTTCCCCCAAAGCCACCACTGACCCATGTCCCCAGGTGCCACATCCATATGGATTTTAAATCTCTCTGAGCAGCCTGTGCCAGGGCTGGACACCCCTTTCCATGAAGAAATTTTTCCCCTAATATCCAATCTAAACCTCCCCGTGGTGTATCTCGAGGTTGTTTCCTTTCATCCCATCCCTGGGAGATTTGGGACATCACAGCTTGTGTGAAATGCCATTGAACACCCCCCAAAACAGCTGCAGATTTTTAGGGAGCAGCCATTCCAGGCTGAGGGAGGGGGTGCACCCCGTGTGCAGGGTGGACAAGGCAGCAGAGGGAGCTCCCATATTGCTCCTCTGGACCAGAGCAGAGGCTTGTGGAGGTGCTGGGTGGCTCTGAGATGGAGCTTTTGTGCAGCAGGACCTGCACATGCTGCTTTTGGCCTCAGACACTGCTGTTCTGAAGTGGGGAGTTCATTCAGTGCCTGTTTCTAACACCTGAGTGCACTGGAACAGCTCTGCTGGGGTGAATCACAAATTCCAGGATGGTTTGGGTTGGAAGGGATCTTTAAAATCCATTCAGTGCCACCCCTGCCATGGCAGGGACACCTCCCACTGTCCCAGGCTGCTCCAAGCCCTGTCCAGCCTGGCCTTGGACACTTCCAGGGATCCAGGGGCAGCCACAGCTTCTCTGGGAATTCTATTCCAGGCTCTCCCCATTCTCCCAGCCAGGAATTCCTGCCCAATATCCCATCCATCCATCCCTGCCCTCTGGCACTGGGAGCCATTCCCTGGGTCCTGTCCCTCCATCCCTTGTCCCCAGTCCCTCTCCAGCTCTCCTGGAGCCCCTTCAGGTCCTGGAAGGATAAAGCAGAGCCAACAGCTGGTCCTGGAGATCCCACTCCTACACTGACCTTCCTGATCCTGCAAGGCCCTGGATTTCGTTTCTCAGCAGGGATGCTCAGTCCTTCAAGGACTAGAAGAAGGTGCAGGGGGGTGCAGAGCAGCATTTTGGCTTCGTGTGGCCCCTCCTGCTCAGGGTGAGGGCTCAGGAGCTGTCTGCCCCTGGAAGGGATTTTGCCTGTGTGGATATTTGGTCTCCCAGCTGCAGACCATGAGATAAAACCAGTCTGTGGGGTCCAACCCTGCTGTTGGGAGCACATCCTGACCGTAGCAGCCATGCCAGAGGTTTTGCATTCCCTGCCTGCTGGGATCCAGATTGGCAAGCGAGGATCCCACCTGGAAAAGCCGCGTCCCTCCGCTGACGTGAGAGCCCTCGGTGGGGAAATGCACGTGCCCCCGGGAAGGCAGCAAAGATGGGATTGCTAAAACAATCTCCTTATCTTCTTTGCAGCTTAAATCTCTGTCTGGTTTGCCCAGGATAATGAATTTGTGAAGCTCTCCCTGCTGGAGCTGACGCTTTCCAAGTATTTCCAGCAGAATTGCCATCTGCTCCCTCCAGCCCGGCACCAGCTCCAGGGAACAGCGTTTGGCTCAAGACAGAATAAAAGCTTTTTTCTTATTCTACAAAAGTGGTCAGAGACCAGAAAATAGAGGCTGTGAAGTCTCCAGCAGTAGAGACACCCCAGACTCCCAGGGAGGCTGTTCCAGGTGAATCCAAAGCTTCAGCTCTTTCCCAGCCCTTCCCTAGCTCTGATCCCCTCAGGGATCCAGCATCATCCATCTGGAGAACCAGGGAATAAAACAAACATTTTCATTTCAGCATCTCTGCAGCACAAAAGCCAAGAGGAGAAATCCACGTTGCCTTCACCAGCACCAAAGTGCTTTTAAGGCAAACAGAGAGATCTTTGGTTGGGATCTAGTGGGGCTTCGTGGCTTTAAAGGAGAAATGGGATGCACACAGGACAGAAAAATTCCCATTGTCAGTTTGATTAGTAAAATTGAAGGCTTTGGAAATAAGACATAAACATCTCTCACACGTTTGAAGGCCTGGTCTAAACCCAGTGGGGTCAGTAAAGCCAAAGTGTTTTCCATGTGGCCTTAAGCCACTTGAATCCTGGGATTCTTCAGCCACAGAATCCAGGGATTCTCCTCAGGCCTGAGGGATTTCTACCCCCTGTTACCCCAACAATGCAGAGTTTGTCGATGGGGAGAGCTGGAAGGGAAATCTGGGAGCTCCTCAAGCTGTGAAGGACTCACAGGATGCACCAGATTCCCAGGAAAAGCTGCCACATCCACGTGGGCTTTTGCACAGATGCAGGGATGATGATCTGGACAACCCTTTCCATGAAGAAATTTCCCCTCATATCCAATCTAAATCTCCCTGAAACAACTTGAGGCTGTTACCTCAAAGAGACTGATTCCAGCTGGGCTCTTTAGCAGCTCAGATTTTGAGGGGATTTGGGAAGCTCCATACAATTTGTGGTCATTTTTAGCAAATACCATTTTTCCCCCCCAATTTAAGTGCTAAATAAGACAACAGCCAGCACCTGGCTGCTAATTCCAGCCTATAAAAAGGGGTTTTTGTGCACTCACAGGAGTTCACCATGACCCTAAAATAGGACAGTTCTTTCCTGAGCTTTTCTTCACCGAGATGACATTAACTATAATTTACATTTTAATTTTAATACAGCTCCTAGAAGGCAATAACATCTCCACTCAGCTCTATTTAACTGCCTTCCTCCTTTTTTTTTAGTACTCCAGTGGATGACAGATTTCAAGGCACTCACAACCTTCCCAGTGCCTGGGATGGGTCCTGCTGGGAATGTCACAGGGGGGACACGGATCCTCCTCGCCCTGGGCCGCCGTGGGGATGGAGGGAGGTGTCCTGAGCTTCACCACGGAGCTGCACACCCAGATGGAAAAATCCCAGATGGAAAAACCACCAGGACAGACCCTGGCAAGGTTTGAGTGTGCTGAATCCAGAGCTTTTTCCAGGTGGGTGTTTCCATGGTGACTCAGAGCTGGGAAAAGCAGAGCTGCTGTGTCACCAGGAATCCAATCCCACGGGGAACACCAGGTTCCATTGGAAAATCCTGACTGCAGCCTTGGAGAAGGAGCAGCATTTCACCTCTGGAGATCCAGTGCCACGGATAAAATCCCTTTATGCTGAGTGTAATTTGGGAAATGTGGCAAATGCTGCCTGCCTGAACAGCCAAAGCAGCCTGGAGAAATCATGGAGCAAAGGCATCCCGTGGCCTGAAGGCTGGAAAAAAGACTGGAATGGTCCACAGTGCTGCTGAGAGCTTCAGGAGGTGCTCAGGCTGTGTGTGTGGTGGGATGAGGAGAGATTTCTTCCTGGGACAACGCTCCAGGGAAGCCTCTGTGTCCCCTGCACAAAGCTGCCCGTGCTGGAGGACATCATCCCTTGGGAAAGACCCCACTGCTCCTCAGGACCACAGGGAGGTGGAGCAGGCCCCAGGGCTTCTCCAGAAGTTGTTTGTTGAAGCCCAGGTTCTCAGTCTTGAATCCAGCTGCAGTGGGAGGCTGGAGAAGGGCAGGGAGATGTCCTTTCCAAGCTGGTGTCCTCACAAGGCTCTCCCCGCTCTGGAGTAATTAGTGCTGGCCCAGAGTCAGGCCTGGATTAGTGCCTGCCTCCATGGAATGTGTGTCAGCACAAAGCAGGGCAGCCCCAAAGCCAAGCCCACCCCAAATCCAGGCACACAGAGATGGGAACTCGGCCTGGGAGCTTGGGCCGTGTCCTCAGAGGTGCCTGTGGCCCCTGCCAGGGGCTGGCTCTGTCCCCCTGTGCCTCTCCCTGCTCCCTCCTGCCAACATCCCCTGGGCAGCAGCTGCAGCCATGGAGACACGGCTCCAGGACAGCAGCTTGGATCTGCAGGGCTCCCTGGCACTGCCAAGGCTCCCTGGTCTCTGTGAGCACTCATCTCCCAGGGGGACAGGCTCCAGGACAGCGACAAGTGTTCACACAGGACAGGCCTCCTGTGGGAAAGGGAGAAGTTCCCAGCACAAGTCAGTGGTCAGAAGTGTCCTGTGCTGAGGTGAGCATCACCCAGGATGATCCCCACAGTCCTGCAGGACTCACCCTGGTCACAGCTCCACAGAAAGCACAGGCCAGGAGGTGACCTCTTGCTTATCTGCAGATGGAAATGGGCCCAAGGTCATCTCAGAGTGAGTGTAAATCACTGCAGCTTCACTCACTCCAGTGGGAACATCAGATGAGCTAAGAGGAAGGAATTTCACCCTGTGAGGGCGGGCAGGCCCTGGCACAGGCACCCAGAGCAGCTGTGGCTGTCCCTGGATCCCTGGAAGTGTCCCAGGCCAGGCTGGATGGGGCTTGGAGAAAGCCGGGATAGTGGAAGGTGTCCCTGCCATGGCAGGGGTGGGACTGGGTGGGATTTAAGATCTTTCCCAAGACAAACCATTCCATGATCCTGATTCTAACTGGATGAAGCTCAGGTGCCACAGAGCCCTCCCTGCCCTTCCCAGGGCACGTCAGGGAGCGTCAGGGAGGGTCAGGGAGCGTCAGGGAGGGTCAGGGAGCGTCAGGGAGCGAGGCTCCAGGGCTAATTTAAGAGTCCTGTTACAAACCCTTTCTTGTTTTAAGGACCAGGCCTGGCCCATGACAAAGCCCAGCCCATAACAAGGGTGGATGAGGGTGGGATGGAGGCCACAGGACAGGAACAAGCAGTGGGATGCAGATCCATGGATGGACAGGAACCAGCAGTGGGATTCAGATCCATGGACAGGAACAAGCAGTGGGATTCAGATCCATGGATGGACAGGAACCAGCAGTGGGATGCAGATCCATGGACAGGAACAAGCAGTGGGATTCAGATCCATGGATGGACAGGAACCAGCAGTGGGATTCAGATCCACTCCTCCAGCCAAAGGCCTCTGTGGGTTGTGCTGAGCAGGGAAATTGCTTTGTGCTGCCCGGCTTTGTGAGAGTTTAATTAAGCATGCCCTGAAGGGGATGAGGGAAAAGGAGCCCCCCAGGCTCTGGGGGTCCCCTCTGTGCTGTGGCTCTTTGGGGTTGTGCTTTGCTGCTGGCAGTGAGCACTGATGGTGGGCTCTGTCCCACAAAGCTGCCATTGTCCCTCTCCCCATGGAAATGGTCCCATGCAGAGAGCACTGGTGGCCTTCACCCTCGTTTGAGGCAGCTCCAGGAATCCCTCTGCAGCCTCCTGGGTGACCCAAAGCAAGGTCCAGAGATACAGAACACTGAAATGAGCTCGGGAGAGTGACCCAGGGATCACAAATGTGGGTGTGACATCTCTCAGCTGGACTCCAGCACTGATGGCCAGGGTGCAACCCCCTTGTCCAACAATTCTGGGCATGGCTGCTCCTGGTCCACTGCTCCCAGGTGAGATCTGGTCCTTTGCTTCCCTTCTCAGCCCCACATCAGCTGGAAAGACGTGGAGTGCTGACAGTGGGAATGACACAAACCAGGAGCTGCCACTGAGCTGCACCTCTGCTCCCCAACACCAAAAATCTCAGTGCCAGCAGCACCCCGAGGCCAGGAAAGCAGAGAAATCAGAGTAATCCTGCTCCTGCTGACAGCTCATGACCACGTCCCTCAGGACCTCAGCAGAGGCTACAAGCACTCAGCATCCTGCAGCACCGTTCCACAAGCTTGGGAGCAACATGGGACAAAGTCACTTTCCATGCTGTACACGTGGTTCTGCTGACCTAAGGACTAGAAATGAACCCGATAATTCAGTGGGAACCACCTGGAGGGAGCAGCACTTTGTCAGGGACACGCCGCGAGCGGCTCGGGCATCTGCAGCGAGACGGAACTCACGTGGAAAAGGAGTGGCTTTCCAATGACCTCCCCAAAAAACCAGCAGCCCAGTCCTCCTTCCCAGCCAGTGCCAACCCTGCTGGAAGCTCTCTGACCACCCAGGCTCACCTTCAGCTTGTGTTCATGCTCCTTGTTGACCCGGGACAGCAGCTGGGCTTTCCTTCTGTTGAGGGCGTCGATGAGGGCGTCACACTGGGCCACCAGGCAGGCCTCGAACTCCACACTGTTCTCCTGCAGGGCAAGAGGGGGTCAGAGCCCAGGGAACATCCCCAGTCCAGCTGGAAAACTGGATTTTCCTTTTCAGTGGTGCCACACGGGTCATCTTTGCGTGTGCAGCTGCACTGCTGCCACCCAGGAATCCACAGCATTGGATATCGTGGAAAACGAGGTGGCAAAAACGTGGAAAACGAGGTGGTGGCAGGTGAGGAACAGGTTTGGATCCACCCAGGGCAGGGTTTGGATCCACCCAGGGCAGGGTTTGGATCCACCCAGGGCAGGGTTTGGATCCACCCAGGGCAGGGATGGGAAGGGCTCAGGACTCTGCTGTTCCCTCCAGCAGCAGCGGTTCTGGGGAGGGTTCAGGGGGGTGACATGGAAAGGGAGGTGTGGGTTCCTTTGGGAGAGCACCCAGCACACCAAGCTCGGGAAGAGGACAGGGAATGGCTCATCCTGCTGGGAAGGGGCAGTTTCTCAGCCTGGAGACTCCATACCTGGATTTGCTGCACCATGTTGCGGAGCTGGACCAGGAATTCCTTTGCCTCCTTGGCTCTGTCTGACAAACCATTCAGGGCCTGGGAAAGCTGGCTCTGTGGGGGAAGCAAAGAGAAAAGTTATTTCCATGTCCAGGACTCCTCCATCCCCCTGGATTGGGTGGGATTTGGGACAGACATCCCACCAAGGTGTGTGTGCCTGAGTGCAAGGAGAGGAAAAGCAGGGTTAACCATCATCTCGGAGACCCTGGCTTTGGGAAAGCAGATATTCCGTGTCCTCCTCCTCCACAGGCATCCCTGGGTGATCAGGGACAAGCCACATCCACCCTGGGTCTCACAGCGAGCCATCTGCTCCCTCCCCTGGATCTGTGTCCTCCAGGGAATCACCAAAAATCCTGCAGGATCTGTGCTGAGAACACAGGCCAGGTGAAGGTCTTCCTGCAAAACACCCACTGCTCCTTCTCCCTTTGGAGTGGGAACACTCCCACAGCCCTGGCCGTGCTGGGCTGAGCAGCAGAACGTGCTAATGACCATCATTGTGTTCATCAAATGCTTTTTCATTCCCATGGCACTTCCCAAACACTCAGGAAATCTTCCCAGTCTCCCCCCTTCCCGATTCCAGCAGTGCTTGGATTGTCTCAAGAGCAAATCACCCTCAGCAATTTTCCTCTGGGAGAGATTTTGCCTCTTTTGTGGTTTGAGGGTTTTTTGGGGTGATCTTTCTTTGAGGAAGACACAGAAGGGAGCTGGGAAGGTGGCTGATGTCCCCCCAAATCTCCAAAAATCCACTGTGTCCATCCTTCCAGGGATCAGGATGTGGGTGATGGGAAGTGAGATGGGAGCAAAGCTCTGCTGAAATCAAGAAATCAAGAACAAAACCCAGCGCTGCCACCTTGGAGAGCCTTTAAAGGCTCAGAAAATAATGGCCCAGAAAATGACCCCGCTGCTGCTTCCCTGGGAGATGTTAATCTCACCCAAGTGCTTCCTGCATTTCCTCTGTAATTTATCGTGCCCGAGTCGTTAGGATGTGGAGCTAATCAGCAAATGCATCTCTAATAAAAATGGGATTGCTAAATCAGCTCAGCAGGTCCCCCCATCCCTCCTCCCTCCCCCAGGCAAGGTCAGAGCCCCGCAGGGACAACCCAGCCTCTTCCAAAGCCTCCACCACCCTCCTCAGCCCTCCTGGATTTGGGAAGATGCCCCAAGCCCAGCAAGGTGTTTTGCTGAGAGCTGTGTTTCTGCAGGGCCCCAGCCCCTGAAGACACAGGCAATTAATGGAAAAAATCAGCAGGTGTTGGTTGTGTTTACAAGCTCCTCATTAAAATTGCAGCATGTTGGGTTGGGGTTGGTTGTTTTTGGTTTTTTTTTTTCCCTTTAAAGTCTTTAGAAGGCTTTTATTTTATTTTTTTTTCCCCCCATTAACACACATTTCATCGAGGGTATCTTCAGATCAACATAATTCTTTGAGGCTTTCCTGATGGGAAAGCTTTTTAAAAGTGAGCTTAACATTTCATAGGAGCTCTGTGTGTGCTGCCCATGAAAGTTCCTTCACCCCAGACACCCCCAGACCTGCAGCAGAACGGCTCTTGTGGTGCAGCAAGCTTGGAGCCCCCACAAAAAGCTGCTCCATCAGCTCAGAGCATCCCTGCCTGTGGTCCCACTGCACCCCTTTGTCAGCTCAGCCCTTCCCTCTGCTCCACGTGTTCTTGATGCCTCCAGTGCGAGTGAGGAGCATTCTCCAGCCTGGCAAGTGCAATTTTCCCATCATTTTAAGGCCAGTTCCTACATGGGTGGGCACAGGAGCTCCAAGGTTCAGCTTTTCACCAGCAGGAGCTTCACTCCCATCTCCAGGATGGGTCCCCCTCATGCTGGAGCTGTCCCAGAATGAAGCCATTCCCTGTGTCCTGTCCATCCCTTGTCCAAGTCCCTCTCCAGCTCTCCTGGAGCCCCTTCAGGCCCTGGAGTCCTCCACAAGAGCTGTTAATATTTCTGACACACACACTGGAAGGATTTCCCCTCTCTGCAACAACCTGGAATGCTGCACTTGGCATCTCCATGCGACAACAAAATCGTCGTGGCTTTTTGGGGTCGGGAGCCACCATCCACGGGATCATCCAGCCACCCCATGTGCTGGGGTGCCAACCCTCAACTAGCACAGGCAGGGAAATTAATGAGTGTGAAATGAAGAAAAATCCCATTTACCCACGCCTTAAAATCAAGGGAGTTTGCTCTTTGAGGAGAGCTGCCCTCTTTTCTCAGTGCTCTCCTTGCAAGGCAGTGAGAAGAGACCTCTGTGATTCACATTAGCATTAATGGGAGCTAAGCATTTCAATCTCTCTGTCCCCAGAGCACTTAGGGAGAGAATCTGTCCTCTCTCCATAACCCTCCTCCTCCCCAGGCACGGCTGACAAAGGGATTTCTGTCACCCTCTCATTCTCCTTTGTCCCAGCACAGGGATGAGAGCAGCTGGTGCAGAAGATTGAGGGGCTCCAGGCTCCAAGAGATGGGAGAAAAGCATCATTTTAACTCTGCATGGTCACAACTGCTCTGGTTTTCCTCCTGTACAGCCCAGCTGCCGGTGATGGAGCTCACCCAAGTGAACTTTGAGGGAGCTGGGCTGGTTATTTTTGGAGGCTGGATGGGTGTGACAGCTCCAGCCACTGGGAAAAGCCTCAAGTTCACCGGTGCTGGACACCAGCAGGAGTGAGGAAGTTGGTCCCATTTCAAACCCCAGCTTGTTTGCAGGTTCTGGCACCAGGCAGGATCATGAAATCACAGAATTGTTGAGGTTGGAAAAGTCCTCTGAGATCGTGGGAGTCCCCAGCTGTTCCCCAGCACTGCCAAGGCCACCTCTGAGCCGTGTCCCCCAGTGCCACATCCACACGGCTTTTAAATCCTCCAGGAATGGTGAGTCCAGCCCTGTCCTGGGCAGCTGTGCCAGGGCTGGACAAACCTTTCAGGAAGGAACTTTCCCTAATATCCAGTCTAAACCTCCCCTGGCCCAGCCTGAGGCCGTTCCCTCTCCTCCTGTCCCTGTTCCCTGCGAGCAGAGCCCGACCCCCCTGGCTGTCCCCTCCTGCCAGGGACTTGTGCAGAGCCACAAGGGCCCCCTGAGCCTCCTTTGCTCCAGGCTGAGCCTCTTCCCAGCTCCCTCAGGAATTCTCCAGCCCCTTCCCAGCTCCCTCAGCAATTCTCCAGCCCCTTTTCCAGCTCCCTCAGGAATTCTCCAGCCCCTTCCCAGCTCCCTCAGCAATTCTCCAGCCCCTTCCCAGCTCCCTCAGCAATTCTCCAGCCCCTTCCCAGCTCCCTCAGCCTCTCCTGGTGCTCCAGACCCTTCCCAGCTCCGTTCCCTTCTCTGGACAAGCTCCAGCCCCTCTTTGTCCTTTCCAGCACAGGGGACAGTCACTGCCCTGCTCCTGTGGCCACTCTGTGGCTGGCACAAGCCAGGTGCCTTTGACCTCTTTGCCCACCTGGGCTCACACTCAGCTGCTGCCAACCAACATCAAACACCAGAACTCACCCCAAAAGAGCTCTTGGCATCACACCAAGAGCTCAGGGCCTGCTCTGACACCCCAAGCAGTGCAACCAGGCCCTGTCTCTCCTCTCCTTCCAACCAAGTCACCTCCCAGCCAGTTCTTCCAGCGGAGCATCCACATGGAAGTAAAAGAGGAGAGGAATACCACGGCAGGGAAAGGAGCTGTTCCCAGCTGTTCTGCTCCTGCCCTCCAAAGGCTGAGGAGCTGTCACAGATGCTGGAGTTGAACTCATGCAAGTCTTTCTTTTAATTAAAAGCACAGGACCTGCAGCCTTTGAATCTTGAGGCCAGCCCTCTGTATGTGATGCATGACTAATTAAAACGGGATGTTTAATTAAAACTTGCATTCAGTCAGGAAGTTGATGAAGCTAAACTGCTGCTAATTGGCTTTTGGCTCCAGCCAGGAGTGCCTGACTTTTGGATTCAAGGCTGTCTCTGAGAAGAAACCAGGAGCTGCAGCCTGGGCTGAACCTGCCCCTCAACTCAGGGCTCAGACAGTGCCGTGGCCTGGGATCCTGCAGGGGCTGGTCCTCGTGTCCTGGGATCCTGCAGGGGCTGGTCCTCGTGTCCTGGGATCCTGCAGGGGCTGGTCCTCGTGTCCTGGGATCCTGCAGGGGCCAGCTCTTGGACACTGCAGGGATCCAGGGGCAGCCACAGCTTCTCTGGGCACCCTGTGCCATGGCCTGCCCACCCTCCCAGCCAGGAATTCCCAATTCCCAATCTCCCATCCATCCCTGCCCTCTGGCACTGGGAGCCATTCCCTGTGTCCTGTCCCTCCATCCCTTGTCCCCAGTCCCTCTCCAGACCAAGGCCAGGCTGGATGGGGCTTGGAGCAACCCGGACTAGAAGGAAGTGGGATGGAATGGGATGGTCCTGAACATCCCTTCCAACCCAAACCATTCCTTGATCCTGTGATTCTGTGACCTCAGCTGCAAATATCTGTAACTCTGAGCCAGAGCAGGTGACAGGAACAGGCCATGGGTCTGAACACACGGCTCTCCTTGGCTCTCCTCCTTCACTGCAGCCATGCCAGGGAATCTGGGGTGTGCAGGAGGAAGGTAAAATGTAAATCCTTCATGGAACAGCCCCTGGGAGAGCAGATCCATGAGGGAAGTGTGGACCTGGATTGCTCCTGCTGTCCCTGCCACAGCCTAGAGAGCAGTTGGGATGTGCAAAGAGGATCCTCCACATGATCTGGCTCCCTGAGGGAGGGATCTGCACAGGGAATTATCCTGGGGACAACATTATTGCCATTGGAATTAATTCCAGGGCATGGAACATGCAGAGAGGTCCCTGAACCTCTGGAAAAGGAAGGGATGACACTAAAGCCACCCCTGTTAATCCTAGAACCTGGTGGGTCCTCCTGGGGCCCTTTGCCAGTGCAGCACTGGGAAAACCCCAGGCAGGACCTGAGGAGGGAGGACACCCCAGGTGGGGACACTTTGGGGTTTGTCACCTCCATGGAGGTGACACCCAGGTGCAGCTCCCCATCCTTTCCCGTGCCAGTGGAGGGATGGGGTTGGTTTGGGATGCAGGGTGGGTGCAGAGCATCAGCCCTCAC